GTTTATTTATTTTCTGTAAACATATATAAGTTACAGTATTTGAAAAAATAATCTATTTGAAAACATTTAATATACCTCGAATATATCATTACGTTACGGGAAGTTCCAGCAATTTGCCATAAGGCACGATGTCATTCACCACTAGTTATTTATTAAACCACTTTTCATGCCCAATAATACTTTAGAATGTTCTTTGATGCAATAACCTCAAATATTGCAAAAAGTTTTATCAAAATCGTCAAAAAAATTTACACAAATAATTACGAAGAAACGGACTAGCTGATTTACACTAAACACTAATCAGCACTTTCCTAACTAATATCTTTTTGAACTGTTTTTGAATGTTTAAAATCGGTTCAAGTTTGGCTAGAATATGGATACAAAATTTTACACATAAACACATAATTGTAAAGAATCGGCTCGGCCGATAGTCAAATAGCTAGTTTAGAGAAAACTCGACAAAATGCTGAATATTGGCTCACACTACATATATATATATACATATAACTTATCAATTTTAGCCTCAAACGATTCAGAATGACTTGAAAAGTCGAGAAAACTGGAAATAGCATCAGATTTTCTGGCCAACAATAAAATTGTTAGCTGAGACAATGTTTTTATAATGTAACTAAATCTTCGGATAAATTATTGCAATTCGTCAACTAAAAAAATATACAAATTTGCATTCACACCATAATTATTAGAATATTAACACTAAATAGAACATAACTTTGCTAATTTTTGTTATATATTAACCCTCCGTCGGGCGCAGCCGATCTGACAGATACAGGGCCAACATTTTAGCATGTTTCTCCATAATTTGATGTCATCGAGATCTCCATATCTCAGTAGCCTCGTTATTTTATGTCTACTATTTATTCGTCCATATTAGATTGTCTTTGAACTTCGCATATTTTGCTAGTAGCAATTTTGTTAAAAAAAACGCACTAAGCCAAATTCTATTTGACGTACAAAATGACAAAAAACACTAAGTTTTTATTGTCCTAATTGTTTATATAGTCTTTGTATAAACATTTCAACAGAATCTGACAATTGTTTTTATATAATTAATTAAATTATTCATTTCAGACAAAGTAAGGTTTGTATGTCTAGCATTTTGAGCGCATGTACGGATTTTTATATTTTGCTATATTATAAAAATAATATTGATCTAATATATATTTTGTTTTTGTTTACACATAATACACATATTCAGCATTGTAAAAGCGCAAATTAAATAAAAATATATAAAACTTTAAGCCTCCTGTCAATATATTTATAATCTGTATTTGTTAGATACACTGCGCCCGATTCTGTACATACTTGGACTGCGCCCGACGGAGGGTTAAAGAACACAATTCTTTGCCAACAAAAAAATCTAAAGATGTTTCGAGCACATCTTTAGCATGCTATTAACATCACTCTTGATTAAAGAACATATAAAAATTCACACTAAATCTATACAAAATCAAATTTATATAAATTATCTATAACAAAAAACACCAAAAATTATTCCAATGTACTCACCTTTCTATATTATTGAGGAAATCCGACTTCTATTCAGCAGCAACTTTATGCACATATTTTTCACGTAAAAACAAAATGACTAATGAATATGTTTATGATATTTTCTAATTATTATGCAATTTTCATTATCTTTTAAATAACAGCACTGCATAATTGTGCACCGGGTAATTTATTTGTTGTATGAATGCATACATATTGCATACCGGAAATTTAAAATTGACAAGAATAAAACTCGTATTATAAAATAATATTTTTCACTATCACACCTGCAATAAGGTATGCTCTCAGTAAGACTTTGCAAAACGAATGATGTAAGTGCAATTGAATTATTATATTAAATTAGAATTAAAAATCGAGTTCTATGTCTTCCGAAAAGATGGCGGTAGCTAAATTTTTGTAGTCGGATCATATCATTAAAATTATTAGTGTTTTGAAAATAAAGGTCGGCATCTGTCTGAAAGAATAAATAGTAGTTAAAATGACAAAGTGATTCAAAGTGTTTTATGACTTTGATTGTAAAGGTAAGTAACCTAACCTACAAACTTGTTAATATTAAATTTATCATAAAATGTTAATGGCCAACATAGAAATTCCATTGGAGATATAAAGAAATTTAGTAATTTTTCACTGAAAAAGCCAGAATTTTCGATCAAAATTTAATTTTTACGTTTGTTTAATATTACCCTGCACATATTAAGGACTGTTTTAATATTTCAAAGCATTGTGGGCACTAAAATTTTTGACAACTTGTCCGCGAATGTGACAAATAAATTTATATATTTTGATTTATACAAACAACACATTGGTGCTTTATGAAATAAAATCCATCCTGTTATTTAGAATTTATAAGCTTTTATTTTATTATAAAAGATTTTTTTAAAAAATTAGTGATGCATAGCATTGTGCCTTAAGGCAAATTGCTGAAACCTTCCGTAACTAGTGGTGTATGACATCGTGAATTAAGGCAAATTGCTGAAACCTTTGGTACCAAAACTGAACTAGTGGTGTATGGCATCATGCCTTAAGGCAAATTGCTGAAACCTTCCGTACCAAAATTGAAACTAGTGGTGTATGGCATCGTGCCTTAAGGCCAATTGCTGAAACCTTCCGTGTCAAAACTGAAACTAGTGGTGTATGGCATATATATGGAACTTCCCGCAGCGTAACGAAACGTTCGAGGAATATTAAATGTTTTCAAGTAGATTATTTATTATAAATACTGTTGCATTTTCTATTTATTAGAATTATATAAACTGAGTTACAATATTAAATTTATTTATTTAAAGTATGTAAGTGAGCTTTAGCATTACTCAGCAGTATTAGAACTTCAGCCAGAATTAAAAATAAAATTTGAATTATTTTCAATGAGAAAAAAAAACTAAAATGTTTTTTTTTCAAAAGCAATTATTTTGTCAAAACAAGCTGAAAGTTTTTTGAATCATTCAAATCGGATACTTAGATCTCTCAAAAACTGCAATTTTTTGTACATTTAGCTCTGTACCTTTGAAATAGCCAAAAACTTTTTATAACTTTTCCTAATTATTACAAATTAAATGTTTTCTAGATCATTCAAATCGGATACTCCGTTCTCTCAAAAACTCGATTTCTATTTCCTGCACTCTTTGCTCCGTAGCTCCGTAACGGCTGGATCTGCCTTTGCCAAAAACTAATCAGCACATCTCCCTATAAATAGGAATCAAATATTTTTTGAACCATTAAAATCATTTGTTTCATGCGCCCGAAAACGTGAACAAAAAATGCCGTCACACACACATAATTTTTTCTGAGGTTTTTGGCCCATTACTATAACTTACCCTATAGGAAGTTAATTAAAAAAAACTTTAAAATACCTTCAAAACTTTGAAATAATTAGATTTAGATTTTTCGACTTAAAAAAATTTTACTATTCTGCGTAGTTATGTGTAGTGTACTTGTATTTCTAATTGTATGTGCATATTATTGTTTTTTTTTAATTTTTTGAAAAATAAGATAAAAGTTACATATTCTAATCTAATTGTACATAAATATAATTGGGGTTAGCCACTGTTAATTCTAAAACTATAATCGCTTAATGCCTATTTCCCAGTCACTGTCAATTCTGAAACCATAATTGCTCAATGTCTATTTATAAACATATTGTAATTCATATGTGATTAATATATGTAACTAGTGGCATTGTAATATGTAACTAATGGCATTAAGCAAGGCAAATTGCTGGAACTACCCTTACGAGAATTTTTTTTTTTTTTAAAAAAACCTTTAAACAATAAGATTTAAAAAAAATCTATTAAATTTTTTTAACCCTTTAACCTACGATTTAGATTCGAGAATCCAAAGTTGTTCGAGCTCGCGCGACGTTTGTGACTATTTTTCCTCATAGTGTACGGTTTATCACAAAAATAAAAATAATTTTGTGTTCTATAGTTTCGTATGAATAGTTACTTTGTAGTACTTGCATTCACCATACCGGGTCATGCCCGAAATGCGTAATATTTGCTTCTGGCCCGAATATCGTACGCGGGCTGTGCCTGTAATATTCACTTTTGGCCTAGCAATCGCACGCGGGCTCTGCTCGTCATTATATAATAAGTTAAGGGGTTAAATTGACTTTATTATAATTTGAAAAATTTGGAAGCGCGTAAGCGCCGCATCGCATTCAAACAGATAAATGTTGGTACCAAATGCACATAAATGTAAAAATGTTTACTTATTATGAAAATCTACATAAAGTATCCAAAAATTCGATGTGCATATATCTAATGATCATTTTTGACCACCAAATGTAATTTTCTTACTTTTTTCACTCACACTTTCCAAACATTTAATTAATTCTTCATTTTGTCAATACAAAAAAAATAATTTTTGAGTTATTGAAATCGAACGCTCCGTTTTCTCAAAAACCGATTTACCATTTTTGGCACACTTTGCCCCGCATCTTCGAAATGGCTGAACCTGTAATTCTTTTTATTCTATATTATTACTTTAGAATTCAAAATCGCATGGCATATAAAATCTTTTATTATAGGCAAAACTCCTACATTTTTTACACATACAAATATACAAAATCTATATTTATACACTTTAGTGCTTTACAATCTTTCTACATTAGATATAGTTAATCACATATGGTTAAAATAAGATATTTACACTATATAGTATTTTTACATAATATGCATATAAATTTATACTTAATATATTTTTAACTTTGGTATTTTGATTATTTACTTGTTTGAGATATAAACATTAGCTTTAAATATAAAATATATGGTATAATGATTTTATTTTTTTTATTTCGAATTTGATGCTTATTATTTATTTCAAAATTATTGTTCATAAATATACCTTAATGTTGCAAATTTAGATATTATTGCTTTTGTTCCTCTACTTTTGTTCTTCAATAAAAAAATTGGTTTATTAATAATAAAACTTCTCAACTGTTGAGTAGACAGTAAAAAACAAATTATTTAAATAAATTATTTCAATGTGTTGTAAAACGCTTCTGTGTCTTCAATCGATTCTACAACATTCATATAACAATTATCACTTTCGATGACTGTTATATTTTCGGTATCGACAAAACCTTCATCGCATCCGACTTTAATCTTGATGCTACTCTCTGATACAATTTTTTTGCCTGCACTACTTGAAGAAGAAGTAGTACCCGAATTCAGATTTATCGGATCTGCGTCAATAGACGTATCAAGAATAATAGCGTCAATTTCATTATTGTTAACAAACAGACCGTTCTCAAAGTTTATGGTGTCCCCGCAAATTTCGGCGTAAATATTCTCATTATCTTCTGGACAGATTTCTTCTTCAAAGATTTTTTGGTTTTGGTTTTTATTATCCAATCGATCACGCACTGTACTGTAAGGCAAGTCATCGATTTCAGGCAATTTTCTGTTTTGAATATTACTGATTTCTTCCTCGTTTGTTTTGTGTTCTGGAAAATGCACTGTTGCTTTAGTGATAGATTCATTTGATTGAGATTCTTTTCTTAATTCTATTACACTCATTTTTTGTGGTACACTGAAGTGCAATATAGTATTGAGACTCGAAGTCGACTTACTTAGTTGTTTCGTTTTTACGTGGAATTCTGCACATAACTTTTCAGTGAAAAATGAAGTTTTTGGTCCAGAATTAGTTCTATCAGAAATTTCGTCATATTTTTCTATTTTATTCAAGTCTTCTAAAGGAATTACATCTGGCTGAATTGACTTATTCTCATCGTTCTCAGCACAATCTAAGGAATTATCAGGACAACTTGTCTGTACTGAAATACTTTTTGTTAAAACTTTCTTTAGTGAGTCGTTTTTAACGGGCGGAGTTTTATCTTGGGTGCTGAACTTTTTGCCAAAGCGTTCCTCAATCAATTTCGCCATATCTTGATATCTTTCTATTGATTTACTTTTGTCATTAGGATCAAAAGGATCAACAAATTCTCTATATTTTTCAGTAATTTCTTGCCTGTAATCTTTTTGCTCGCTGGTGTTTAATATTCTGAAATGTTTGAACCATTTAGTTCTTTTTGAAGGTTCAAAAACTTTCATTTTGCTAGAAATTTCTGAAGACATTTTATCCAAACTATAATCTGACGAATGCTTCTTCTTCATGTTATCACTTTCCATCGATTCTAAATCGTGTTTACTTAAAAATATGATAGAATCTTCCTTTTCGTGTGACGGGGAATGCTTGTTATCGCCGCGTAAAAATTTGGCAAAACTCGCGGATTTTAGGAGTTTTAACCCATCGATTTTGTTCAAAATATTTTCGTATTTGTCATTTTCGGGGACTGGTGGGGCATCAACTACCTCTATTCTGCGGAACCATGAATCCAAATTGTTCTGGCAGAATGCTAAAACGTTTTGAGCGGAAGCAGATTTATATAATCGATGTTCCGTGTCTGGTCCTACAATACACCTTGACACTGTGACGTCCGGACTAGCTGTTGTCTTGGTGAGCTGGTACTGCAGTTCGCTGCCTTCAGGATTTTCAGTTAGAGAACATGTGACGAGCATGGGTTCAGAGGATACACTTTGCAATGTGAGAATATCTGAATCAGAGAAAATAATATTTATTATTATTTTTTTATAAAGTGATTGAATTTGAGAGCTAATTTGAATTAATTGAATAAATTAGGGACATGGTAAAAGCATATGGCTAGCAAACTCTAGTCCCTGGTTCGAAACCGATCTCGGCCAAGCTCGGCATCAGGCAGTATGGTGTCAATTTTTCACGTAATGTTGCAAATATAAAATATAAAATTCATAAATTAATTGCATTTTGTCTATTCGTAAATTAATGTGTAAGTGAAAGTTAATGGGAGTATAAACCAAGTAAACAACGTTTTTTTATTGGTTTTTATATATTAACTCTTCCGCTACCACCGTCGCCCAAAGGCGAGCTTGTTCTAATTAGTTATTCTAATATTTATTTCGTAATAAATGTAATTTTGTAAATACATTTTCATTGACAATTTAGTTGTTGTTTTACTTTTAATTACAATCTGCCATACCAGAACATTAAGTCATGGTATATAAAAATGGCATATAATATAGGTAGATTTATGGATATACTACCGTTATAGATATGATTACAGCACTATAATGCGATATATAGTGATTGTAATATTTTTATAAGAAAAATATAAACTTTACACTACATAGACTGTTGGTACTCATATGTTTTTCGTTGTATATAGTGCACAAACATATGTGACGTCACGTCTCTGAGCGAACATTGCCGACCACAATCGCAATTGATCAAATGTCATATGTTACATGTCTAACATAGGCCTTATAATATATAAACCGATTTCAACAGGTGGATTCGATTTTATATACATTTTTTTCACATGAAAAAAATATTAATGTCATTTCTTACAAAATTATCAGCCATCACAATTGCCATTATATTATTGAAATAAAACTATCACAGATAATATTTGAATTAAATAAACTATTATGATAAATATTATTAAATATTATTAACTTCCCGTAGGGTAAGTTATAGTAACCGCAAAAAAATCGAAAATGAAAATTTGTATATATATTTAAGGTTACTGAATATTTTGGCATACCTTAAAAACGGATGTATGTGTGTGTGTGTGCGCGCGTACAAATTTTCGTCGACTATTTCGGGAACACCGATCAACCGATTTGAATAATTCAAAAAATAGTCGATTGGTATTGATGAGGAGACGTGCTGATTAGTTTTTGGCGAAGGGAGGTCTAGCCATTCCGAAGATACGGGACAAAAAGTGCCAGAAACGGTAACTCAGTTTTTAGAAGAACGGAGCGTCCAATTTTAATTATTCAAAAAACAATTTACTTGTATTGTCAAAATAAACACCTGTTCAAATATTTGGGAAGGCAGGTCCAGCGGTTATGTACTCTCAATAAAAATAAGTTAAAAAAGAAATAAAATTATAAGTTTATTTGGCATATGTATCTCAAATTATCAGAAAATTCATTGAGATTTTAATAATGTGTACACATTTTGTAAATTTTTTTGGGTTCCGTCCCAAGATTTTTAATTACGGTACGGGAAGTTCCAGCAATTTGCCTTAAGGCACGATGCCAGCCATCACAATCGCCATTATATTATTAAAATAAAACATATTACATATGACATTTGATCAATCGAGGGGGAGTCCGCGATTGTCGTTGGCAATATTCGCTCAGACATGTGACGTCCTATGTTTGGCACTTATTTTGCGCTCGACCTGCAATTCATGTAATACATGGTCTATGATATATACTAGAGATGGGTAACTCACTCCGGAGTTATCACTCCGATACAACTCCTCCCTCGGAGTGAATCCGAGTGGAGTTGTTTCACAGGATTTGTCATATCCGACTTCCTTAAACTGGAATTAAATGTGTTAACTCGTACAGGCATTTAGTGTTTTTTGTCGTTTTTGCTTTGAGAAGGAGGCGGTCACTTTCTTGTCTCGCAGGCAGTTTTATGAACTTTTATAGGTATAAAAGTCATAATAAATACCATTGTATAATTGTGTAAAAGTAATAATATGCTAATCGAACTACGCGATATAATATTGTTCCAAATGGAAATAGCAGAAGAAAAATTTTTAAAGCAGAAGTATTATGTTTTGCTTTTATTACAAAGTTTACTACATAATTTTGATATAAAATTAATCAAAAAAATCAATTATTTTCTCATCAAAAGGAAATCATTCAATTGAATTTGATTCTCAAGTTTTGCGTTTTTAATTTGGTCAACGCTGCTAAAAATACGAGTCACTGAGTCGATCATCTGGTCGACCGAAAAACTTTACAATCCGTCATTTATTCGTAAATTTTTTAGAAAACTTATTTTATTGATAATTATTCATAATTTTTTATTACAAATAATTAATGGGATTTGACAAATCCTTAGATACATAAACAGCGTACCATAGAACACATTTGTTTCGAGTATTTCGGTTTCAAAATTATCGGAGTCGTGGAGTTGTTTAGCGGATATAACTCCACCAGGAAGTGGTGTCAAATCCGAGTCTATCCGGCTTCGGATATAATAAGCCCATCTCTAATATATACACATGATCATTTCATTTACAATAGGATAGATTATCGGAAAGATTATTAAAAAATATTACCTTGAATAGACAAAATACAACTCAACTTGAGTAATATCAAAAATAGGATTTCAAAATAGGTTGGCCTTGAATAAAGCAGTAAGGCTACGAAAAAAATACTTAATGAATAATAGGGCAACTAAGCCAAGAAAGACTGTCACTTGAAATCTTATTTGATTCCTACAATCCCAAGTAAAAATCTAACATCCCTACTCCTTGATAATAAACTGAGGAAGTGGGTATTTAACCCGGAATAATTGTTTGCTAGACCACGCTCTTACCAAGGAGCCATTAGCCAGCTCAAGAGCAACATCAAGCTTTTCTCTACTAAGTTTTTAATTAAATGTATGATATTTATATCATTATTACCTGAACTATCTTGACTCATGCAGTCAGGTAACGGACCTGATATCAGTTTCACATTTACAGGTAAATCACAATGCTGAAGAATATTTGGTAGTCTATGAACGCAATCTTTATCAAAATTTGACTGCTTTCCAGGCGCTGGTAAACTGCTTGAGGTTTCATAGAATTTTCCTTTGGTTGACAGTGATACGTAAATAATCTGAAATAATATTTCATTTGTGTTAGTGATCATAATGTAAGGAATAAGTATTATTCATAATGATATTATGGCTATTTTATGCCGTATTTGTTGTAAGCTACCTTATATGGTTAGATATTATATAGTTATTATGAAACTCTATTGTTTAATGCATGTCTTGACATTATGCTGAACGTTTACTACTTGTTCTATTAAAGATATAAATACCACTGCAAGTAGCACTGAAGCAAACGTGTAAAGAGTTGACAGTGAAATATTTATAACTTAAAAGAATATTATGAAATAAATTTAATATTTTATTTATATCAAAATATAGGAACACTAATTATGTCACAACATTAATTTTTTTTGTCAATAATGAGAAGTTATTTTTTCAGCACATATAAATGTTTCAATAGTTTTGCAACCGGCTACTGTTATTAGTGCGAATTAATAATGATCTCAATGGCGTTCATAAATAATATTTTTCTTACATTGTGCAATAATAACAAATAACTATTTTTTCTTATTTTACCTGTTGATTGTCTCCTAAAAGTTGTGCATATTGGCCTTTTCCATCTTTATTATTTCCGTTACTGGAATCACCAGCCCCGTCTTGGAAAACAGCTAATAATCTGTAGACTTGACCAGCTCGTGCCATTCCTCGGATATATTGCGCTCGACCTATATAAATTAACCAAAAATAATAAGATTGAAGATATTTAGAAAAGAGAAATGTTTTGTTCTGATTATTATCTCATGTTAAATTTTTTTCATATTGTTGGAACAGCGATCAGATCTTAAGGGCACTAGAAGCTGTTGTGATGATTGGACTTTACTAACTACCTGTGTTTTATAGATGGCAACCCAAACTATTGTTCTATCTATGTGCTAAATTTTATCATACAATTTATATAATAGCAATGACTTTTTTATTGATGCAGTTATGCAGGACATAAGCTATTTCATTTCATTTCATTTGAAAACATTTCTATATATTCTGTTCACTTATGATTTTCCAACTATTCAATCAACCACAACTGCAACCTTTGGCGATGATATAGCAGTTAGTTTTACAAAGGCATCTGAATGTTATAGAGGATTGGACATAAAAATGGAGAATAAAAATAAATGAGAGCAAGTCTAACCATATAACATTTACACTCAACAAGACAACATGACCAAGAGTGCATTTTTATGGCCAAGCAATTCCAAGTACTGATTGTATCAAATACCTAGGTATGCATCTAGATCGCAGACTGACATGGAAGGATCATATAGCAAAATTAAAAACTATAAAAAATTGTACCGCAGAACTATACTGGCTCCTGGGACATAAATCAATTCTATCTATCGATAATAAGCTACTAATCTATTTGCAAGGTGGTTATAAAACCAATATGGACTTATGGCATACAATTGTGAGGCTGTGCGAGCAAGTCGAGCATTGTGCTAATGCAAAGTGCTCAATCTACAATATTGAGACAGATTACTAATGCTTCATGGTTCATAAGCAAAAGACCTTACACGACGATTTTCACATTGTTATAAAAATAAACAGTGTCAAACATTTTCAAAAACTAGAACATCATTCAAATTCTATAGACAGCTTCTTGAGACCCCAATTTCAAAAAGACTGAATAAGAAGCTGCTTAAAGGTAATATTGAAGACCCTTAGCACAACTTTACTTATTGTCACTTATTGGAGTGATTCTCTAACTATCAATTTAATATTTATCACAATAATTGATATGTGTGTTAGAAAGTGTGTGTGTATGTGTGTGAGTGAATGAAATAAGCAAAATAGCACTGTATTCTGATTGCTATTGAAAATGAAATAAAACAAAACAAAATTTAGGAAACATATTGCTATCTATATATCCAAATGGAAATCGATGTCACTACCGACATCAGGCTGCTCAAGTTAAGTATCAAACCTGGAATCTCTAATTGAAATCTCATAGCTCTAGCAACTAATACACGAGGAAGCTCAAACTACAATACAATTTTAAATATATCGGTTGGAATATTTTATTAAATTTGAATTGAAATTACCTGCGAGCGTTTCCGAGTAGGCTGCAAAAGGTTCAGTTGAAACAAATTTGTAAACTCGTTCTCGAACCAACTGCATCAGCGTCGTGTGCACTGCTGCAACGGCGTCACCTTTGTCGCTGACCAAGGAAAACCATCCTGAAAAAAAATAATTGTCATATTTACTTTAACAGAATACTCTTCTATCACTCCAATATAATGAGTTAACATTAATTTACACAATTTTCTATTTAAATTTCAGCAATATTCTCTTAGCGTAAGGCAGACTTTTTCTATCTTTCTTTCATTTTCATTACAAAGATCTAAGAGTTACTTTATATATTACTCGCTTATTATATATGAGGACTAGATTTTGTTTAGTATGCAGAACCTACCAATGATTTTCTCTTATTGAAATTCCAACCAGAAACAAATTCTGATACAATTTCCCTATTTCAAAAATTACTTGATACTACTCGATATTATTTATTCAACATTTTAGATGATTATCTGAATTGGTTCTTCATAAGTATATTAATTTTTATTTGCATAAATGTATTCAAACTTGATAAATCGTAAAAATTTAAGAACAAATGTAGACAAATTTTCGATTGCTGAATGAAATATGCTTAATTTAACACCATAACTACTCTGAATAATGCAGGGAAAGAACAAAGAAATTGATAAGGTAATTTGTTTTTAATGATATCTATTCTTTTAATCATATTATAATCAGTCTCAATAGTTTTTTCGTATCTTACACATATTGACTACCCATAGTCTTTCATTTAAGTTGGAACTATAATAGCATATTTAATAAGGAAAAATGCAACTATTCACACAAAACCATTTTATCCATATAGTATGGACAAATGACATATAGGGTAGGAACATACTAATATACTGCTTATTAAGAAATAAAATAACATTAACATTTGGAACATTTTTTATATGTTTTTTTATTATATTCTCATATCTTAACAGCAATCAGAACCTTATGTCCTAAGAGCTGTTGAGCTGCAGCTTCTTCTTACTTCGTATTTTTAGATAGTAACCCAATGGTTAATCCACTCATGTTTGATGATTTTATTATTAGAATTAATGTAATAGGGCTGACTTTTTTGGTGCAGCAATGCCGAGCAAGGGCTATTTTAACTTGGAAACATATTGCTATCTATATTTCCAAGTGAAAACCGTTATCACCACTGCTTGACAACAGGCTGCTCGAAGTGGGTCTTGAACCCAAGATCTCTAAATCAAGTCTTTTGGGAAATGAGTACATAAGACATGATATCAAAGGAAACAAATTAATCATAAGTCATAACCAACCGTCACCAGGCTCAGAACAGAGAAATAGGGTTTTACAACAAATGAAAATCTTACTTTTCGGGTGCATTGTTTAGTATATATTAAGAAGTGATTAGAGTAGAATTTAAAAGTCAATCATTTGCAAAAGGTTTCAATTTTTCTTGGGTTCGAATAAACTATCATGTGGTATTTGCGAAATAGACTATGCTGTATTTAAATTTGAAGAATAAGTGATTTAATCAAAATCCAAATTCAAAATATTATACTATGATACGATTTACGTGTGTTTTTTTTATTGGCCTCGCTTACGTGGAGCATTTAGCCACCTATAACATTTCTTTTATTTATTCAATATTATTTTTAATTCCTTTTCTTACTTCTAATTCTTCTTTTCTTCTTTCTTCTAAATCCATCTTCTTCGTTTTTTCTACTAATGCTATTGCGTCTTCTTCTAATTATGACGAATTTTTTAGCTTGATACTGTTTATTTCGTACATACTAACTTATTCAATTACAATTCTATATTATCATATACAAATTCGTTATTACAATTAATTATTTTATTAGGAAGTGCGTGGAATCGAACCAACGATCTCCGGCATGAGAGTCGGACATGCTACCTATGAGCTATGTCTTTTCCCAATTTACGTGTGTATTTTCAACATTTTATTGAAATTTGATATCACGAAAAATCATATAGAGTTTTGATTGTGTTTCCAGTACACTACGTGTTCATTGTATTAAATTTGTTCTGCTCCTCATATATTTATTAGTCATATAAAAGCTGTTCATTTTGCATCCTGTCCATTGTACGGATGCAATTCGTAGTTATTGTGGAGAAGGATGAAGTACCCGCTTTGTTTTGCGTATAGTTTTAAATTAAAACACAATAATAAGGAAGTCCATACCGGTAAAATAAAATACATAGAATGGTCCCTACTACAATTAATCGCGAATATAAACCTTAAGACTGGCGAATGTTTTCATGATCCGAGTCCGTGGCATTCTTGGCGCGCGCCGGGCTATTCTTCGATGCACTTTTATGAGAGATTTTATTATGAGATCTCTGTTTGCGCATCCGCAATTAACTGCGAAAGGCGCAATTGATACTGCGACAGAAGAAGCTATTTGAAAAATCATCACATCGAGGAATGCTGAAAGAACAATAACCCCAGATCAAACAACAACTATGCACTCACAATCAGAAAAATGATTTGTTAAAGGCACAATGCAGCAAAATATCAATGACTTATTCAACAATGACAAACCGGCGATGTAAGCTTTCATTTATTTTATTAAGCCTAATAAATCTTTTCATAAATTAAAGTGAAAAGGAAAGGAAAATAATATAAGTGAAGTGCAAGTTGGTTACTGACACTTCCATGTGAAAAACTATTTATAAAAGTATAGTTATATTGTAAAATATTTATAATACAAGTATCATTATTTTATTAGAATGCATTAAAAATCAAACATTACAGTAATATAATGCAAACGTCAAGAAATGTTTGTCGAGTAATGTGTAGTGAAATGCGAAATGTAGGTGAGACCGGGTATGATTGTGCCTCTTTTTGTTCAGCAATAATTTAGTTTATTTATCAGTTCGCTGCAAAAAGTGTAAATAAAATCGATTTGAACATTTGTCTCCGCAAAAATACTGAAATTGTATCCATAAATACGCTGCATTAGTCATAACATCAAATTAGACAAGTGTCACAACCGTCCACGCCATAAACGTAGGTTAATAATAGGTATAAAAACCAAAATGATTTATAACGACTTTTATTGTCAAGTATGTAACATAACACAACATAACGTAATTAAACAATCACGAAGCTTATGAATATAATATGGCAAAAACATACTTGTATAAAGAAACTTCTTCTGTACAAATTCATGGTAAATCCAAATTGGACGTACGGAATACAGCTTTGGGAAACGGCGCGCAAATCCAACATCGCCATAATTCAAAGATTTCAAAACAAGATTTTGAAAAATTTATAAATTCATCCAAGTATGTCCCAAATTGGTTGGTTCATACTGATTTGAACATAAACGCTGTCAAGGAAGAAATAGCAAAATTCAGTCAGAGATACAAGAATAGAATACAGAATCACCCAAACATCGTGGCTAAAAACTTAATAAAAAACCATGTCATTGAACGGCTCAGAAGAAAACGTCCCCTTTTTGATATTCTTTAGTAATCCTATAACATGTACATTGCAATCACTCGTAGGCTTTATTTAAATTTTTTTACATCAGGATTGTATCTATAAGCTAAACATATCCAACCTTGAATCGGATCACCACATTCAAACTTTTTTTTCTTATTTAACAACCCATTAAAATTACTGAATGTAATTTATAACGACATATTGTAAATCATTAATGTAAATAAAAAAAATTAACAAGAAATAAGCTCAACTGTGCGATCACTTTTGCTGTCACGACTAAGTGTTAAATAATAAATTTATAATTTCACTAATCAGTCAAAATATTACAGTAATTATGTAATATACTGAGACCCAGTCGGAATCATCATTACAATGATGAAAAATGTAATGGTGACTATCACCTGCGCATTTTACATGGAACCAGAAACTGCATATTCCTTGGCACTTGATCTGCTTTACGCCACTCCTACTTTCAGAATATAAGCTTTCACAAACTAGACATTTTTTTTTACTTGTAGTGTTTTTTCATTACCCTTTCTATTAAATTTTTGAAATCGGTTTAGCCGTTTTTGAGAAAACGTCAACAAAAGTTCAAAAATCGCCTCACATGCGCACAGGCACGTACTTTTTTCAAATTTGCTCTGATTCAATTCATAATTAAGCATTGAGAAAACGTAAAATATGCAAATTATATTTGCAATAATATCAGTAGGAGCTGTGATTTCTTACTTGTTACACCAGACAATGTTTCTGGTTGAGATACAGTATGCATTGATATATTTTATTTATATATTATATTAATAAATGAAAAAAATGGATCATTTGTAATGGGTCTTATTATTGTCACTTGTTTTAAAAGAGTTTATATCCCAATGTTTCTTTGACAGTTTCAATAACAATATGACATTAACCCCAAGTTCGATTTTAAAAGTAATTAGAAAATCTTTTGAAAAAATGATATTATTAATAGTTTATAGTATACGCTCGGTCCATTAATCTTCTGACAAATATTTTTCACGTAGGTTAGCTGGCTAGTAATCATCAAAATATGTTAGTTAAGTTAATTTAATTTTTTTTTTTTTTGTAGTATTATTATATTATTTTATTATTTACTATTATTATATATTACTATTATTATTAGTTACTATTTTTATGTTATTATTTTTATTTATTCTTATTTAGTTTATTCTTTTTAGTTTATATATACGAGTATATAAGAAATGCAGCTCATAGAATATAAGTACTGTTCTGATTGCTGTAAAATAATAAATGAATAAAAAAAAAAAAAAAAAAAAAAAAAGGTTAGCTGGCTAACGATCATCAGTACATTGCAGATATTAATTGCTAATATATCATAAGATAGTAATTAATCATTTGGAATTGCAATAAGATCATGTAGAGTAACGCATAAGTCGCATCTTATAGGTATTGTTTTGTTCGCAACGGTAATTACGTTCCAGAAATGCAATCATCCACCCTTATCGGAAATGCACAGGTACTGTTGCATTGTTCCGAGGCAGACGAGACGTCTCAGCCGGCTGTGACGACTTTGCATGCCGTGCGATTTACAGAAAATACTGAATTCAACCGATTATATTGTTATTTTCTTCGCTAACGAATAAACAGGAAGCTCAACTGTAAAAATTGCGAATAATAGAACAATTGTAAATAATTTTATGGCTTTCATCGCTTAAAACTTTATGGATGAATTAAAAATAATAATAAAGATCTTCAATGAACAATTAAATGCAATCAAAACAGTACAGAAAAAGTATAAAATACTGTCATTTTTTTACATGTTTACTACTTCCGTATATTTTTTTAAAACCCGTATTCAAGCAAAATCATATCCAATGCACTTTGAATAACAATTGGTTTTTAAAATACAGTCATATTCTAATACAATAGCAAATATTAAAAGGGTAGTAAGGGTGCATATTGTTACAGGGGTAAGTATTAACAGGAGTTTTTCAATAGGATCTTATACGATATCTAAATATTTTTTTCTTTTGATTGGATATATACAAGGGGTGTACAGGGCTTCATATTGTCTTAGCTACCATACCGTAGCTCGCCGCAATATGCAAAAGTGTGCAACTGCGTCATTTTTGACAGGTAATATAAAATTGCTATAATATATCAGTTTGCGTTTTTAAATTCTAAATTTTCATATAAATTATTTTGTTTCAAATTTATCAATCTTCCAGGTGTAATACTTTTAATGATTGCTAAATTGTTCAAATAGTTATCTTGATTAATATAAAAAATCACACCTGAAACAAATGAAAAACACTATATATGAAAGACACTATATATTTTATTTGTATTATTTGAAGTTAACGTTTATTTGTGATGAGAATTTCTATTATCGGATACACTATATACTTTATTTGTATTAATTATAAAGTAAGGAAATACTTTAGAAACATATTGATTTTCTAAAAAAATGAGCTAAGGATAAATTATCAGAGGTATTATTCTCGTTTTTTTTTGTCGTTACTACTTGTCTCTGCAGATGTTACAAAAAGCCTCAAATATAGGGTAAATTGTAACTCCACCCTTTTTTGCGAAAATGATTAATTGTGAAATAATAAACAATTGTCATAGAATAATGTACACTTGATTCGGCAGAGGCACACTTACTGCTGATATTTATTTCGTAGAATTGCAATCAATTGATCTCAATAATTATTAATTTAAATAAAACAAGCTCCTAACTTTCCTACGTTGTTTTTGTATTGACCGTCCATCTGCCAGAGCATTTTAAATTGCAATTTTGCCATATAGTCCAGTCATTGTAGTAAGTACACCTAGGAATTTGAAATACCCAGCTGTAAGTCTGTAAATACTTGTATATTGGCACCTAAAAGTTGTCTCAAAACCTACATATGTTGCGTACACCCTACCATATGTAGGGTTTGAGACAACTTTTAGGTGTCAATATACAAGTATTTACAGACTTACAGCAGGGTATCTCGAATTACGAGATTCTTACCTAATTTAAGCTTAAATGACTGGACTAATATTGGATGTGAATTAAAGACATTTGGGGTCTTGGGGTTATTAATTTTATGCTAATATATTTGGCCAAATTGAAATTTCCCTGTAGAGGGATGAAATGTTGTTAGAGAAAGTCTCAAAAAAATTAAGCATGATCTGATAGTTTCATAACCCCTATCTAAATACTGTAATACCCCGCTAAACGCTGTTTCGTTTAGCGCTGTTTCGGTTCTGCGCTCTTTTATTTAAACCCAGATTTTGGAGGGGTAAATGTGGATGATGTCGAAGAAATAATTCAAGAAGCAGCGCAGTCTTTTCAATGTTGAGATTAAGGAATTTAATGAACAAGAAGGAAACTTTAGATTTCAGATTCAAAGGAAGATCAAAAAATTTTTTGATGGCGTTTGTAAAAACGAGTTTGTCTTCCATAACTAAAATGATGGATCAATTCATTGAAAATGAACCCAAATGAATGAATGAAAAGGCTTGGTGTTAGAGATGCTCTACGCGTTTATGAAGAACTTTTAAGAGAACAACGCAAAAAAGGCAAACAACATTAGATGTTTTGTCACAAAAAGGCTGATCACTAGAAATGGAACAAAAGGCTAACTAAATATGACTGACTTAGTATTTTATATGTTTTTTCAAGATGTTTTCAAGAATATTCGTTTTGTTATTTAAGTTTTGTTTTTATTTTTGCAAGAAATAATAATGTGGTATTAATTTGAATTTTAAGAAATAAATGTTTGTTTTTACTTTTACTAAAAAAACACTTTTTAAGTTTAATATCTAACCAATGTTCTAGTAAAAGGTAATATCTATTCCTAGTTTAAATGTAATATCTAACTCAATATTTACGTGCAAAGGTAGCATCGTCTAACGCTGTTTCGCATTACGCTCTATTTTGATGGAACGTATCCATATATACGTATATTACGCGTTAAGCGGGGCATTACCGTAATTTGCTAACAATATAAATTTTCGCTATATACTCATGTTGATGAGTTTTCACATATTAGGAAAGAAGGTTAATCGGTTTTTCAAATGTTGAATAGTTGATTAGCTTAACAGCTGCTATTTGCAGGTTTCCCTATAAATATCAAATTAATCAATATATTTCTGGCTTGAGCAGTTTTTTGTTATTTATTGTAAGGTGCAGTACTGCAAAAAGCTCTCCAAAATTTACAATTAAATTATCTGTAACTAAAGCTAAGAGCTTTTCAAACAACTTAAAGCACTGACTATGTTTTCATATCATATATTCAAATCATATTTTATATTGTGTTCCTTATATTTAGGTCTAAGTCGGTGTAAGTGCATATGATAAAATGGCAATGCAAAACTCGATGTAAACTGGACAAGCAGAGGACAAGATCGCTTTGGGAGCAAAACATAGCGGATCGAAGTAACCGTAAAAACTCGAACATACTCGGTCGCAGCATCTGACATAATAATAAAGACCGGTGCCGGCTCTCAACTACAAGTGTGATATATCCCACTGTCTTTAAGGTCAAGGTAAGTTATACTTTTATTCGGTTTCATTATTTAAATAAATTATTTTATGTTGATAAAATTTAGTTCAAGTATTGCTATACGGTTTTAGAAAAAACTTTAGTAAGTTATGGCATACTCATTTCAATTATTAAGTTAGGAATTTAGTTCGTTAAAACTATGTTTCCTTCGATAGGTTTTTCCTTATATTAGTTTGGTAACTAAGTAAGTGCGGATTTTTGTCACAAACTCAAAGATGTTTTTTCATACAATTAAAAGTCTTTGTCCTTTTTCATCCATGGCTTTTTAGCAGAAGCATCATCATTATGTTCCTTACAAATTTTTGTTACAAAAAAACTAAATCAGGTATAATTTGACACCAGCAGAATAATTAAATTGTTTAATATTCAAAAGCAAAAGTAGGCAATTCAGCTGTAATCAGCTTCATCTGGATGACCAGAACGTTTCTTATCTTTGAGTGAAGAAAGCCAGAACAAAATTGGGAAAACCAATTTTGATTAAGGCTTCGTCGTCATAAACAGCTCATAACATTTTGTAAACTTAAAATTCCATCTTTCAACAAATGCCAAACAAAAACTAAGCAATCTCTCAAAAAAACTCTTTTTTACTGATGGACATCTAAATTGTCTACAATCTAAAACACTCCGGATGATTACTGATGCCCCATGGTTGGTTAGCAACAAAATCATACATGATGACCTTAACATCCCTTGTGTAGTGGATGTCATCAAAAATAACAGCACTAGACATCATGTTAAAATTTACAATCATCCTAATACAACAATGGCTCATCTGCTTGATAATCCGCCTATAAGAAGACTACAGAAGAAACTGCCTATAGTCTTATTGTAAAAAAAATGTTTTCCATATTCATTTGCTCATTGGAGCAATTATTACTATTTGTTCATTTATTTATTTTTTTCATTTTTTTTATTTATTTATTTTTCTTTATTTGTAATTTATTTTATTTATTTAATTTTTTTTTTTTTTTATTTTATTTTATTTTACTTTTATTTCTTTTTTTTGTTATTTCTTTCTGTGATTATTACTATTATTATCATTATTATTATTATTATTATTATTATGTGTTAGCCATATAACTCATAGGGTCTGTAAACAAATGATTGTCTATGATTGTTATATAATATGAAAATAATAATAAGAAAAGGCTACTACCCATTAACAAAAGGTTTTGTACATTTGGACTACGTCAGCAAACCTAAAAATCATATTGAAACCATCTGAGCTGCACTTACTTAG